TTTCTCGGCCTTTGGGTTTACATGTACTGAGATGCTGGATTTCTGTCTAGTGGAACATCACACTGCCATGAGGATGAAGTACCTGCAAATACACAACATTGGGTGAAGCCAAGAAAAAAGAAGCCAGATGCCCAAGATTCCATGCATAGGCATTATAGTAATAGGCCAGCCCAACTACATTTCAAGTCAGTTTTCTTGGTGCTAGGGGATGATGGAAGAAGAAATTCTTCCAAGTGGTTACTAGATTCACAGGTCAAAATTTCACATAATGACGATATTCTGTGTATGTTATACCTAATAAAGTTTTTTTTTGTTTGTTTGTTTTTTGTTTTTGTTCTTGTTTTTTTGTTTTGTTTTTTCGAGACAGGGTTTCTCTGTGTAGCTTTGGAGCCTGTCCTGGATCTCACTCTGTAGACCAGGCTGGACTCATAGAGATCCGCCTGGCTCTGCCTCCTGAGTGCTGGGATCAAAGGCGTGCGCCACCGCCGCCAAGCTCTTAATAAAGTTTTAAAAGGAATGGAGCAGAAACTTTTCTGGAGACTGATGCACGATACTTGTAGTTGGTTTGTATTTCCTATTGATTTTCTCTGGTCTTACTTGATTTTGTTATTAGCTGAGAACTTATTACTTATACTGGGTTTGAAAACTGTTTCTTTATCCTTATTTATACAAAGTGAATGAGGGTGTCTTCCCTTCCAGCTGTCTCCTGTGGTGTATTCCAAGCTGCCTTAGAAAAGACAACAGCCATGCTGCAGCTCACTAGGGCTGCTTTCCTGCAGATGCAACTTCTGCTTCTTAAACTAAGCTTGAGACCCAGCAAACAAGAAGGCAAGCCTTGCAAACAAGATAAGGCTGAGGATGGACTGAGGGGGTCAGCTCAGAGTGGGTTTTTCCGGAGCTGAAATGTGGCAGAGACAGAGAGGAGAGCCGGCCACCTGGTCAGGCAGCTGTGTCCTGTGATAACACCATTTCATAGTGCTCCTCACCAGCTCATGGCTGCCCCATGCTTCATGTCCAGTACACCTGGCTGTTTGCTACATACCCTGAAATCATCACTTCAGTTGACACACAAAAGTTTTCAAATCAAATGTCAATTCATTTTTGTAAAAGGAGGTAAAAATACCAAATATTTTACAAACTAAAAATGAATGTTGGCTAAGTAGAGTTGGTATCTCATGATGGGATCTGACGGCAGTTACTGAGTACCTTGCAAATACAAGCACACTGTAATGAGTGAAATTTTAAATCTCTAGTTTATCTGGAGTGTTTTGTTAGCTCTATAGTATTCCAGCTTAAAGATTCAACTGCCCTTATCCGACCTCCCCTTGGGATATCCTAGTTTGTAGCACCTTGGTTCAGACTCCCAAGACAGTTTCTAATGGCAGATCTTATCTGTTAGGATTTTTAATAGAAAGTGCTAGGATTTGATCATTGATTGATAAATTATACCTCTGAACAGGTACTGTAGTGGATTTCAGGTGACGATGCTGCAGGCCGCAAGAATATATTATAGAGATGCAACTGTATATAATAAAGCTATACCTAGAAAGGCCAAGGAGTTTTTCTAGAGGGAAGCCATTTATCAGGGAATATTTGGTGTTATTCAATTTTTAATATTCAGCTGTTTCTTGCTATGAATTTCTTGTGCTCATAATTCCCCAAGAGCAGTATGTGTGAACCACTCCTTGGGCATATACACTCAAAGTACTTAGATAAGGTCACATAGTCAAGGCCTTCTGCCTCAGGGCTCCCTGTTCCCTTTTTAGCATTTGAATTGAGTGTCTGCCTTTTGCAAATATCCCCTTTAGCTACATCCAAAGATAGGGCCATCTCCAAACAAAGCATCCAAGGACTATCAGATAACAGAATAGCTGGCCAGACCACCTGCTAGGTGCCTGAAGCCCCTGAACTAAGGTAAAACATTTGAGGACAGCCTCCTAGGTGCATAGCTTTGCTTCTTGTGCAAATCAAGCTCAGACCTCCCCCTCCTCTTACAGTCCTAGAGCAACTTCTTAGAACAAGGAGTTTTTTGCATGACCAGATGCAGTAAAGACTGGAGCAGAATTCCTGGTCCAGTCAGTCCTGTGGCCGGAGAGAAGAGAACAAGGCGGGGTTTCTGTAGATGGTAGGGCAAACTGGCTCAGGCTGAGGAATAAGGAGCAAGGAAAAGTTCTGTGGACTATAGGTGGACTTGAATCGGGTCAGGGGAGGAGAAGAGGGAGGAAAGATGGAGGATGACGGAACAGGGGATGAAGATGAGATCGAAAGCATAAGAGCTTAGTTATTAGAGGACAGAAAAAGAAGGGACAGAGAGGAACTGAATGTGAGGAGGAAGCTGAAGCTGTATAGATAGCATTTTGTCTTAGAAAAATAAACAGACAAAAGAGCATGGTGTACATAGATTCTTTTCCCTCAGATAACACCACACTGGACATAGCGACTTCCCCAGGACTCTGGGAAGGATTTTCTCAGGACAGGCCCCTGGGAAAATTCCAATAACAGGGTATACAGACTCAGTCTAAGAGCTCATGTGAGTGTTGAGGGGCTGGAAATCTTTTCCCTAAAATTGCCTGTGAACATTTATTTCCTGGAAAGCCTTTGAAGTTTGCAGACTGCTGTTAGATATTTGCATAAGCAGCCAAAGCAAACCTGTGCTGGCCTCTGACTTCACATGTGACCAGGCAAGGGGACCAGCTGCTGAAAGGTCACACTCAACTCGGCTTCTTTGTTTTTAATGGAAAGAGAAGGTGGGCTGCGTTGTTAATATGTGAACAATTTCAACTACAAAAAGAGGCGACTGGAAGTTAAACTGTTGAAACAGAAAGTCTCTTTGTGTCCTTGAATTTTGGAGACATCATCTCTCCAGTGTGCCTGTTTACATAATGAAATTTGGAAATCTGTCTTAGAATTGCCATTTAAAAATAACATGGTTATTCATAGATATACAGTAATATATGGTAATGCTTTATAAAAAAAGTAGTGTGTTCTATGAATAAACTCCAGTTTATTAAAAACTTTCCATTATTGGGTATAGTAAGTACAAAGACTTCCACTGAGCAGTCTTACAAATTAATCTGAAATTTTTCCTATATAGATATTTTCAATAAACAAAATGCTATTGCCTTATACTCAAGAGTCTTAAGTTAGCCGGGCGGTGGTGGCGCACGCCTTTAATCCCAGCACTCGGGAGGTAGAGGCAGGCGGATCTCTGTGAGTTCGAGGCCAGCCTGGGCTACCAAGTGAGTTCCAGGAAAAGGCGCAAAGCTACACAGAGAAACCCTGTCTCGAAAAACCAAAAAAAAAAAAAAAGAGTCTTAAGTTGTATTTTTTTTTGTTTTAAATTAACTTCTGTGTTTCCCTCTTAAAAAGCACTAGGAAAACCAGCTTCATTGCATAGCGGTGGGTAGACTGGGTTTCTGTTGTGTAATTCTGTTGGGTTTCTGAGTTTTGTCCAGACCACATCTGACATACAGAGCAGGTGGTTTTTTAAACCAAGTATTTTTATTAGTAATGTTAAGGTTTCAAGTTTAAATTAAATGTTACTGAAATGAAACCACTTAAATAGTTTTTCTTAACCTTTTTTTAAATGGGCAAAATGGAGTTTCCTGCACAGGACACAGGCATAGAACTTGACTTTTCTGAGTCAAGGTATGCTTTGAACTTGAGACCCCCTACCTCCTGAGGGGCTTCCTAAGGAGCAGGAATTACAGGCCTGAGCTGCTAGAACTGTGTTTACCTGGGAATGCGTTTGAGTCTCATCATGAGCATAGAGGTACTGGTTAAAATGCAGATTCCCCGGGTGGTGGTGGCGGCGTGCATTTAATCCCAGCACTCGGGAGGCAGAGGCAGGCGGATCTCTGAGTTCAAGGCCAGCCTGGTCTACAGAGTGAGTTCCAGGAAAAGCACAAAGCTACACAGAGAAACCCTGTCTCGAAAAAACCAATAATAATAATAATAATAATAATAATAATAATAATAATGCAGATTCATAGGCTTGCAGGCAGGTAGCCTGTATTTGGCCAAGCATTTTAAGTCTGAAGCATAGTACAGTGTGAAGCCTGCTACCTTGGAGCAGTGCTGCTTAATGGATGTTTAGAGCTTGTACTGCAAGTCCTTCAGGCAGAATGTAAATAATAAATCAAGAAAACAAACAGAACCAAGATAGACCCTTTCTTTCACCTCAATTATAAAGTTCATGTTTAATTATCCTCTTGTTACTGTGAAGTTTAGTCCTGGTTTTCCTTTAAAATACCAGGTTGATTCTTATCACTTAATTACATACAAACTTTTGCTATCCATAAAGAATCCTTAAAAATTGTGTTGACCTGAATTCTTACAGAAGAGCAAGTATCAAATGAACTGCCATCAAATTTATCTCCTTCTAAAAAGACTGTCAGTGATGTGTTAGGTGGCCGGTGCGGTCAGTGGAACCAGTGCCGCCTCCAGTTTCACAAATGAAGTGAGTTTACCAGCTGGGGAGGGGATGCCTTCATGCTGCGTAGGACAGATAGCACATTTCTGCCCCACATTTTTCCTCCAACCAAAAGACTACCTGCAGCCTCACCCTGTCTACAAACCTCACTCACTACGCTAGGTGCCAGCCACTCAGAGCTAGCAAGGTGGCTCCAGAGGATAAAGGTGTTTGCCGTGCAAGCCCAAGGACCTGAGTTCAATCCCCGGAACTGTGTAAAGGTGGAAGGATTTGCACCTACACTCACTCACACACATCACACACACACACACCACAATAATAACAAAATTTAATGTTTTAACAAAGAAGTTCTCTCTTGTCATGGGCCATATTTTGTCCAGTACATTTGTAACACTGAGTTTGGCTTCAATAACGCGACAATGCTTTCAATACTATTTATCGCTGTCCTCTCAAAATTGATCCGTCTTTCCCCGTCTCATTATAACAGGAAACTTTATTTCAGAGTAGCAAGTGCATTGTCTGAACTCATCAACACCCTCTCTGTCCCTCCCTCCCCCGTTTGTTGCAGACCAGGATGAAAGAGCAGCTGAGCTCAGCAGGGAGCAGAATGAGAAAACCATCCGGAGCACGCAGACTGCGCTCCGCAATTTCCGGGAGTTCCTCATCTCCAAGTACCCTTCGGAAACCAGAGAGATCTATGTCATCCCTTGCAAGGAGCTAGATGCCTACCTTGCCTCCTTCTTCGTGGATGCCAGGCAGAAGGATGGGTCTGAGTACGAACCCAACAGCTTGGCGAATTACCAGTGTGGGCTGGAACGGTACCTGAAAGAGCACCGGTATGGCTACAGCATCACCAGGGATAAGGAGTTTAAGCGTTCCCAGGAGGCCCTGAAACAGAAGCAGATTGAACTCCGCTGCAAAGGAAAAGGAAACAAGCCACACAAGTCCATGAAGCTCACCTTTGCCGACGAGCTCATATTGCGGAAGAGAGGACTGCTGAGCCGGTATAACCCTGAGGGTCTGCTCAACCTTGTCTGGCTTAACAATACAAAAGCTTTTGGGCACTGCACAGGCTTCCATGGATCCACCTTGAAATGGGGCGACATCCGACTCCGGGTCACAGAAACTGGGCTCGAGTATTTGGAATGGATGGGTCAGGACACCGGTGATCTGAATGCCAAAACCAAGAGAGGAGGGACAGACTCACGGGTTTATGCCACCCAGCATGCCCCACAGACTTGCCCGGTGCAGGACTATAAGGAATATGCCCAGCGGAGGCCTCCGGCCATGCGCTATGAGGATGCCCCCTTCTACCTGTCCATCAAGCCAGTTGTGAACCTGGCGGCTCTGCATTGGTACAATTGCCAGGCCCTCGGCAAGAACAAGCTGGCCAAGATGGTGAAAACCATGTGCGAGAAGGGCAACATCCCGGGCAGGAAGACCAACTTCAGTGTCTACCAGAGCTGCAGCACCTTGTCTGAGGCCCAGAGCAACCAGCTGGTCCTCATCTGCAACAACCTGAGCCAGCAGGCCGCCCAGTCAGTGGCGGGCCACTCCAACAGCAGCAATTTCATTGTCTCCTCTTACGACTCTTCCTCAGACACAGCTTGACCAGGTGGCTTGCGCAAGACCTCACTTTGGTTTCTGTGTCCCAAGAAACTGTCATTGTATACTGCATTTCGTCGCCTTTCATCTGCCCTCAGTGTTAACTTTATAAAATGCAAATCTCTATTTTTCTTTTTACAGATAAGCCAATGGCAATAGTTTAGTATCACTAACACAGTATTTATAGGCCTGAGACAAATAAGTGTGCTTGTGGGTGATTCCATGTAATTGCTGTTACAGACTTGGCAAAACCGTAGTGGTTCTCAGGCAATGGTAGAGAAAGAATTCCGTTTTGAAAAAACCATCAGAAAGGAAACCAAGTCATTCAAGACACTATGTCCTCACTCCTCCTTGCCTCCTCACGTCCCGATTTTGATCTCCTTCACAGATGGATTTATTTTTTTAATTTTTAAAAATTCTATATGAATCTGGAGGAGACAACTTTACTGCTCATGCCAGATGTTGCTGAGCCAGAGCAGGTCATGAAAGGGGTATCATAAGCTCAGCGTCAAGTTATTTACATGTATTGTTAGTGTAGAGTTTTAGCTCCTGGACCTCACTTTTCACCATATATGGAGATCCCAATGCTTAAAGAATTTTTCTTTGGGGGGGAGGGGGCGGCGTGTAGAAGGAGGAATAAAGGTGCCATTCTTTTTGGAAGACGTCTCATTTCTAAACAATATGCAAGGTCTGGTACCATGAGGGGTGGGGAGACTGTTACAGAGCTCATTTTTAGTGGTGTGATTGGACCTGCATAGGATGTTCTTTTTCCCTAAGTCAGTGTAAATGAGTTTGATCATCAGATTTACAAGAAATTTTAAACTTTCAAGAACTTTGAAAATATTTCCAAGTGTTAGATTGTCTATCAAGAATAAAAGAAAAGGTAGAAAATGGAGGCCCCACTAAAAATCCGGACGCCTTGGTAGAGACAACAAGCTGCAGGACCCTGTTACTGTGTGTAAGCATTAAATCCAGCTCTTTTCCCCAGGGGATCACTTGACTCTGCTGCACTTAGCATCAAGGGAGCATTGATACCCATCTTAAATCACAATAGTTAGTTACCAGCCTTACCAGAACTCAAAGCATTCTTGAGTTTCTTCTCAGTAAATAGAAATGCATTTATCTGTGGTAATCTGTAGTTGAAATAATTTTGGTTAAACATTTGTGGTGGTTTTTCCAGTCTTTGTTTTCAAGTCTTGAAGACTGTAGTAAATTATTAGTTAAAACACTTCAAAAATCAAATACATTTAGTCATTAGAGCCACAGTAAGATTGAGCTGGCTTCCTTCCCGTCCTATCCAATCAGTAATACAGAAGGACTCTGAAAACCGTCATTGGTTGGTCACAGTTGAGCACCTGTTGGGGAGCTGTTTATTCTTCAGGTCAACCGTATCACTCACATTAGCTTGGAAGATAGGTGGTACTTTATTATCTTCTGATATGAAAAGAGAAATCTTTTCATTTGCTTTTCTAAATTGTCACAGAGCCGAGCTCTCCCATGGCTAAGTGGCTCTTCGCATCAATATGTAATAAGCACACATGGGGCCTTTCTTCTAGGCTGTGGTCTTTAGTGCAGAAGTGGCAGGTGAGCCTGGGACCTTGGTGGGTAGAAGTAGCTTTATGAGCTTGTCCTTCCGAGAGAAGCATCATTAAGAAAAGGTATATATTTCTATATAAGTATTATCTAAATCCTTTGAGCAACCTAAAGAGGAAGCAAGTTATCCTCATTTTATGGTGAAATCATAAGTCGGTTAGATGAAGAAGGAGTCTGTCTTCTCCCCCCAGCCTTTTTCTATTCATCTTATGAGCTAGTTGTTCGTTTGGGTGGTTTGAGCCAGAAATGAGAACAGTGTCTTTCCATTGCTGAAGGCTGTCTAGTTTCAAGGAATGCTGGGTGATGTTTCATGATTGCACACGATCCTCTGACCCACCTCCCCATCACCTCCACTTAAATACACAGCTGCTTTCTCCCAGTTCCTCTGCAGACCCTCCCCACTCTTGGAGTCAGACAAGCCCGCTGTAAGGGAACTTTTTGAAAGGCTGTTTTATGTGGTATACTTGTCATTTTTTATCATCATAGTTTTTAAATCCTCCATCATGTTGGCAGCAGAGTTGGTTTTGAGAAAGGAAGCCTGTCACTGTGCACTCCACTAAGAGGATGGAACTAGGCAGTTCTGAGTCCCTGCTGGTGGTGTTGAGTCCTGACAGGAGCATCTACCCTGCCTAATCTTAAGTACTACATTTTCATCAAGACAGTTACATCAATAATATGAATTACTTTTATTTACTTATGTTTTGCTGTGATAACTAACCAGATAAGAACACTGTGATATTTAGATTAAAACAACTTTTTGAAAAATGGCTTACTAGAAGAAGTATAGCCAACCTAGAACCTCTTTAATTAAATTATACAAAGTCCATGACTACCTCTAAATTTTGTATTTTTATCTAAACAATTCTAAGGATATACCACTACCAGATGCTGTTTTTATTACTTAGAATTTTAACTTATAAAATGATTCCACGTCATGGCAGAGGTGTACGTCAGCATTTATCATGGTTATTAGGGCTAATGTGAAATGTTCCATATGTAATATATGTCAACTATTAAATATTTATTTCATAATTTTAACTATCTTAGAATTTCCCTGTTAATTTGCTTTCTCTTAAGTTATTGTGTTGTGTTCTGCTTGATACAGGGTTTCTCCACATTGTCTGTCCTCACCCTCGTCCCCCCAGATCCCGGGTGCTGGGGCTACAGGAAAGCAGCACCATACACAGCTCATTTCCCTAAGTTAAAGTATTACCTGAGCTTCAATAGTGCCTGCATCTTTTCTGGTGTAGGTTAAGTCTCTGGTTTTTCAGTTAGGTCTTAGTATTGGAAACTGTGGCGTTAACTAACATCCAGAGCCATACTATCGATGAATTTATTGAGATGAAAATTTATGGTTACAGAGGCAAATATTTACTGAATATCCAGTCAGTGGGAAGTCTGTAAAGATGTATACAGTTCTTCCTGTTCTCAAAGAAGATATAGAGATGCTATAGTAACAGTTTTATTTTTGAGAGCCCAGCCTTCCCCTCCCCCAAATCTCTGTGCTGATCCTATTGTGCATTGTCTTTCATACTTTGTGCCTCTGCAGTAACTTAAGTCATTGAGTATTCCAGTTTGCTGCAGAATGTATCCCACTTCTTTGAGTATTTTTTTAATCATTTTTATTTTGTGTGCATTGGTGTTTCGTCTGCATGTATATCTGTGTAAGTTCATTTCCCCTAGAAATGAACTTACAGACAGCTGTGAGCTGCCATGTGGGTACTGGGGATTGAACCCAGGTCCTCTGGAAGGGCAGTCGGTGCTCTTAACCACTGAGCCATCTCTCCAGCCCTTTGAGTATTTTTATGAAGACCTTTCCTTAGAGCTTCTCCCCACACACCCCAAGTCAGGGTTTCTCTGTATAATCCTGGCTGTCCTGGAACTCACTCTGTAGACCAGGTTGGCCTCCAACTAACAGAGATCTGCCTGCCTCAACCTCCCAGTGCTGGGATAGAGTTTTTCTTAAAATCAGTAATACGGTGAAGCCATTTGTGTACCATCCCTGTGTTCACATAGGTGCATACCCACAGGAAAGTCATGCTGTATTGTGACATAGTCATTTGTTAGAGCGTACAGTGTGCCCCTGTCCCAGGACCCACAGGAAAGTCAGGCTGTATTGTGACATAGTCATTTGTTAGAGCGTACAGTGTGCCCCTGTCCCAGGACCCACAGGAAAGTCAGGCTGTATTGTGACATAGTCATTTGTTAGAGCGTACAGTGTGCCCCTGTCCCAGGACCCACAGGAAAGTCAGGCTGTATTGTGACATAGTCATTTGTTAGAGCGTACAGTGTGCCCCTGTCCCAGGACCCACAGGAAAGTCAGGCTGTATTGTGACATAGTCATTTGTTAGAGCGTACAGTGTGCCCCTGTCCCAGGTGCTTCTCTAAGTTGTCTTTATCAGTAACCATTTTAAATGACCATTCCTGCTCTTTGTAAGGGAGAAGGTCGGATGGGTTGCCCCGGTCACAGAGTGAGTGGGGAGGAGCAGTGGTGGTCCCTGAAGGACATCCTGGTCCCACCATGTCCTGTCCTCTACTGTGGCTGCTATCCAGGCACCACTCACTCGTGCTCTGGTAATTCTGCAGTAGGCTCTCTGAAGTGACAAGCTGTAGATCAAATCTCTGGTACAAGATAGTTTTTTGAGAAAGGGCTTTGACTGGAGCCTGGGGCCCAGCAGTTAGGCTAGGCTGTCCTCTCATAAGGTAGAGTGCTCGAGCTGGGATGAAAATTAGCAGTCCTTCCCGTCAAACAGGTCTGGGAACCCAGAAGTACACTGTAGATACCATCTCCAGTTACTGCTGTGTTTTACTGATAGCAGATAAAGGGGAATTGTATCGGTAAACTACCAGCAACTCTGATTTGACCTTTCTAAGCAGAGAAAAGGAAGACAGATCTCTCAAGGTCCAGCTGACCTGAAAATTGACCTGTTGGGTGTGCCAGAACTGAGTGAAAGGCCTGATTTGGTATTAAAGATTGTGGTTTCCTAAAAATACGACATTTTAGTGTACTAAGTTGAGTTTTAGTGCAAGCCATGATGAATTAGAGTCAGTATTAGTTAGGTCCAAGTATTGCTATAAAGCCATTGTCTTTGTTGAATTGTGATCTTAGAGGCTACCCCTGGAAAGGACCTAAGAAGTTGTCTCGCCCAGTGATTACCAAGATTTAGACTCAGAAACCATATCTTCCTTCAGGGAGATGGTAAGGAAGGTAAAGGGATGGATACCTCAGAAAGAACATGTGAACGTGCACACTCACACACACTTGCTGGAGAGTCAGCTTCTAGACCTCCTCTGTCCTTTGAGACTGACTGTGCTGAATGGGCTGATGTTACCTCTGTTCCACAGCCCCCACAGAGATGAGCACCTGGGTCTTCCCATCTCATTAGGATTAGAGCCAGGAGAACCCAGACACCTGACTACTCCTGTCCTTAACAGAAAAACTTGATAGAATTTAGAGAAGAAATCCCACCTACGTGGAAGTAAACCCTGAGTTAAATGTGTTTTTCTTCTTTTCCAAATTGTATTTTAAACTTCTGTATATTTGTTTGGGTTTTTAAGACTGGGTCTCATGGTATAGCTTTGGCTAGCTGGAACTATGTAGACCAGGTTGGCTTTGAACTCACAGAATCTGCCTGCCTCTGCCTCTGGAGTGCTGGGATCAGAGGTGTACACCACCGTGCCCAGAATTAACCCTCTAGTTCGTTATAGGCTGTTTGAATGTGAAACCTAACTTTTCATTGTATAGGGTTATGTCTTGATTTTTAGCCATGTTTCATTGTAAAATTTGTTAGAATCACTTCTAGTGTAATTGTTTCCTAACAAATGTCTCTGCTCATCCCACTTATAGTTAGTTTTCAACTATAAATGGGGAGGCAAACTACCCACATCTCTAAGTATTGGATTCCATTTATAGTTAGTTTTCAACTATAAATGGGGGGGGGCAAACTACCCACATCTCTAAGTATAATGGGGAGGCAAACTACCCACATCTCTAAGTATTGGATTGCAGATCATGGACCAAAGGGAATTCCTGTTTCGTTGGGATTCTCCTGGAAATCCAGCTCTATGGTATCCATGTTATTGGTTTGAGATACAATTTGTACTATTTGACAGTTTGAGACATACCTTCAGTCAAAAGGATTACAATTTTATCAACATAATTAAGATTTTCTTAAGTGAATTTATTCAGTGGTAAAAAGGGAAAAGTGGTAGGCGGTGATACAGGTCTGCAGCAGGGAGATTAGAAATGCAGAGTGGGTTTCCTGTGTTAGCTTGACTTTTCTTCTGGAATTCAAGCATAAGAAATTTCACAGACACAATTTGCAAATTGTGTTTATCAGAATCAGTGGAGACAGTATCAAATTTTAGGATTTTTTAAAAGTGCAGTGTAGTTGTCTTTTTATGGAATGTCTGACTTGGTATGACACTGGAATTAGCATTTTTACCGTTTTGCATTGATTTCCATGGGAGCTTTGCAAATGCTTTGACCTAGTTTACTCGTTCGTGGTAGGTAGAATTAGGATGGCATTGGGAATGTAGAACCCTAACAGTTATTGTACACACAGTGTTTTAGTGACTGTTGAGTGTCTGTGTTGTTACATTTTATAAGTCACGTACCTTAGAGTACTGTACTATTAATTTATAATTGATTATTTATACTGGGTGTCCATATTTAGTATTAGTCCAGCCAGATTAACTTTATCTAACTGAACTTTTATACCAATAATCCATTATGTTACACTTTAAAAATAGCATTTATAACTAAAAAACTTTTGCTTTATAAAGCATTTGTTATGAAAGAAACTTGCCAAAAACCATTACAATTTCTATGCATTATGAGATAATTGAGTGACTTTTGAGGTTTTGCATGTTGTTCTAGATGCTCATTCAGTGTTTATAATGTTGCTGTGGAATTGTTAGCCATCGCTGCTGTCACTTCCTAGAGTTAGGCTGTGCTGCCCGTGTGTGTGTGTGTGTGTGTGTGTGTGTGTGTGTGTGTGACTTGAGAAAGTAAGTACTTGGTCTAGTCTTTGGAGCCAGCACTTAGTGGCCTCACAAAAGGAAACACAGTTGTCACGCAGCACTGAACGTGTTTCAGGTGAACCATTGCAGTCCAGAGAGCTTTCCTTCCACACACCTTCAAAAACAGAAAGCAACATTCTGTGTGTTTGGTTTCTAAGTACTTTGTCACTGAGCGTTTTTACAGAAGAGAGTCCAACAGAGTGGCAGTGGAGCAGAACTGTCTCGCTGGCCTGGATATTTTAGGTTGATGGGTGTAGCAGCAGGAGCCTGTGAGGCACACACGCTATCTAGCTCCTCAGTGTGGCTTACTGTTAGAATTGCATCTGTAAGAATAACTAGTAATTTAGGGGCTGGAGAGATGGCTCAGTGGTTGAGAGCATGTACTGCTCCTCCAGAGGACCCGAGTTCTATTCCCAGCTACTACATCGGGTATCTGTAATTCTAGCTCCAGGCCAAAACGTCTGCACATACTTACACATAATTGAAAATAGTAGAAAAATGAACCAAAAAAAGAATAATTAATGGTTTAATGTATACCTTATAGTTCCTAATGTCAGCTTTTGTATCCAGTATTTACTTAGGTCTGTGGAGTGTATTTAGTGTGCCCATCAGGTCTTTCATAGCTGTCTGTCCAGTTCAGTGCCTGGTGTTTCCCACTTGCCTCAGTGGTTCCACACATACTCTGACGACAGATTAACTCCGTCTCCTGTACTTGGTCAAAATTCAACACGGAGAAAGTATCATTATATTCGTATTTATTCTTTTACAGCAGAGGTTAAACTATCATGAAATATTAAGCAAAGAAGACTGCTTCCTAAAGAGCCTTTTCACACCGGCATGCCAAAATTCCCCACTTAGTACTGGGTTTCCTCCTGTCAGCTCAATAGATAATAATTATAAGATCCCTTTAATGAAAGGATAATCTCCTGAGGTAGATACAGGCTTTTTGTGTGACTATCAGAGGCATAGTGACAGCCAGTGCTGTGTTTGGACACATGGGTGCTGAAATTACTGATTTAATTCTAACATTATTAAAACTAATTCCTCAAGGCCGCTGTTACTTCTTTGCTTAGAGCAGTGGCTCTCGGCCTGTGGGTTGCAGCCCCTTTGGAGGGTTGAGTGGCCCTTTTCCAGGGGTCACATACCCTGCATATCAGATATTTACATTACAGTTTATAACAGTGGCAAAATTACAGTTATGAAGCAGCAATGAAAATCATTTTGTGCTTGGGGTCCCCACAGCATGAGGAACTGTATTAGAGGGTCACAGCGTTAGGAAGGCTGTGAAGCACTGGCTGAGAGGCAGAAAGGCAGATTTAACTGTGAGCATCCCTGCCAGAATGTGCTTTAAGTGTCCAGCCCTCAGTGAGGCGCTGAAGCAATAAGAGGAAACGGGGTTGGTTCTGTGTGGTGTGAGCAGCTCTTGTCATCCAGCCCCAGCGCCTCACTGGAGCATTTCTTGATTCCTGTACTGGGAGATTTCAGACACCAAAGACTATGGCGTGGTAGGTCCAATGATGAAGTCTCTCTCGGTTAGCAGTGGGCATGTATTTTCGGATTTATTTTCCACCCTTGGAGCTTGTGTTTTGAATCTCTCTGTCCAAGGCCTTTATGTCTAGAGCAATTTTTTGAACAAATAGTATAAATACTTGGTAGGTTTTTAATTTATAGTTTCTGTTTTCCCCATGTAAACATTCATTGCTAAAGCTGGACATAGAGTTACCAGATCAGCCTCGTGGTGAGTGAGCATTCCCCTCTCTGTGCGGTAATATAAACATTAAAATCCCATTGACCCGAAGGCTGTTGAAGAGAATGACTGGCCATACTTGAATCGACCAGAATCAGTATGTGGCCCAGCTGGCCACTACAAGAAGACTTGGTGTGCTTTCATGGAATGGAGGCTAGGGTCAACGTCATTGAGGTCCTTTGTTTTGTTACAAATCATGGAAGTGTGCATACAGTTCCTTGTCTTCCATCACTGAGGACTTAGGGGATAAAAAGACAGATTTATCATTTTAGTCCCTATGGTTGAAGACCAGGCATCTGTTTGGAAATGCTATAACCACAATTAATATGCTTAGGGGGAAATTTTCATGAACCACAGAGGGCCGTGCTGTCCTTTTAGGAAGTATTTACTTGCCCAGGTTGGTAGATTGTCGTCTTTCTGTGTGTTTTCTAGCCACTTGGCTTCTCTATGACTGATGTGGAAAAAAGCACATGTGTGTCTGCCTCACTCAAGTCATAATTGAAAACTTCTTTTTAAAGCTGCTACAGTTCTAACTTGGGAAAGGAAGAAGAAGAACCGTGTGGATTAAAATGAAAAACTGTGATAACGCGTCAGCCGCTCCTGCCTGTCGATGTTTGTAATATAGAGCGTTTGGTCACTAAGAGTGTTTGAATTGGTTTCATTTTTAGTTTGCTGCTCACTGACCTTTTACACTAAGATGTTTCATTTTTATCCGCTCACTGTTTTTGCTTCACAACTGTCCGTGCACTTGTGCTTTAAATAAAGCTCTAGTTTTGTGTCCATCACGTGTATAGCGTTTGCTCTAACGTAGTGAGATTTTCTGTTATTTTTGTTTGTTTGTTTGTTGATACAGCCTGAGATCTTTGGAAATAAGCAGTCCCGTAAACCCAGCCCGTGTGTGTCAATAGTGTCTCTAGTTAGAGCCTGGTCTGTTACCGTGTCCTTTCTGTCTTTGGGCATGATGACCAGTTTTCAGCTAATAAATTATTTTCTGCAAAGATAGCTGTTTTTGTAACTTTACCAATTTAAAAAGCAGGCCACAGTTTGGGGGGGAAAGTCAAATTGTTGGCCTGGTGGCGTGCAGTGGCCCCTGGGATGTTGACAGTTTGTACAAAGCCGGGCACTCCATGTCTAACCCTGAAGGGGACAGCCCTGGAAAAGGAAGCATTTATGTGCATAGCTGTTTACACGACTTTGTAAGGTAATGAAATTCCTGAGTAATGGATCTGTAGCTGGTTAATTCACGGGCTTTCTGTAGCCCTGGGCCTACTTAAGGAGCAGAATGCTCCGCAGCCGATAATTAGCTGTGGGCTGTTTGATTTACTTATTTACGTGCTTACTGTGGTGGGTGTGCAGGCCTGTGTGAGTGTGCGGAGGCCAGTGGTCAAAGTCAAGTGCTTGTCTGTGTAACTCTTGAGACAGGAACTCTCGGTGAACCAGAAGCCCAACATTTTAGCTCAGTTGCCTGGCCACTGAGCCCTCAGGATCCCTTTGCCTCTGACTTCCAACACTACAGTTACGTGAGAGCCACCGAAACAGGTTTTGACAGGGCCTCTTGCTTATGCAGCCCCTTCTGTTTGCTTCCATTTTTGAGGTGGTATGTAGCCGAGGCTGGTCTCGGATTTGTTACGTAGCAGAAGGTGGACTCGAACAACTGATCCTCTAGAATCCACCTCTCATGTGTTGGGATCATGGGTGTGTGACAGCATCTCTGTTTGCTGTCTGTATGGACACCTCTGTTAGTCCTTTCCCTTTACTTCACAGAGGGATTCATTGCTTTTCAAATAAATACAAAGTTATGCTGATCTACATACATAGAGGCAGGCTGGAGAGATGATCCAGAAGTTAACAGCTCATGCTGCCAAAGGACCTGGGTTTGTTTCCCAGCACCCACATAGCTCATAACTGCCTTTAACTCCAGTCCCAGGGGATCTGACCGCCCTTCCAGCCTCTGCAGGCGCCAGGCACATACATGGTACACAGACATATGCAGGTAAAGCACCCACACACATTAAAAAATATATACTTTAAAGCTAGGTTTGGTGACACATGCCTTTAATCCCAGCACTCAGGAGGCAAAGGCAGGTTGATCTATAAAGCAAGTTCTAGGACAGCCAGGGTTACACAGAGAAACCCTGTCTGGAAAAACAAAACATTTTTTTTTCCTTAAATATATGTCAGGTCCTAGTTTTCTTTATTTTCAGAAAAGTGCTTTTAGTCAGATGGGGTTCTCTATGTGTTGTTTATCACATTTGGCATATTTGACATGGTTCTTTGAACAAAACAAAACTGATTCCTTGATGATTAACCTCAGGCCTCTTTGTTGGGTCACTAAAATGATCTAATAATGAGAAGCCTTAGGGGCTGGAGAGACAGCTGAGTAGGTAAGCGTGTGCAATGCCCTAATGGAGGACCGAAGGTCAGTTCCGAGCATCCATGTCGGGTGGCTCATAACTTAGTGCCAGGGGATTTGACACCCCGAGCGTCTGAGGACACCTGTGACATACCCCACTCCAAACACTGTGATTAAGAATAAAGTAAAGCTTTAAAAATACCTGAAAATTGTATGAATACTCACAACCATTTTGCTGAAATATAAACCTACTTCATATATAAATAATTCACCAGTCGTCTCGGCTGAATATTCCAAATGGAGATGGCTGTTTCATTGTAACAGCAGTGTGGATGGACTAACTGTAAGTGTTATGCCTGTGTTTTCATAGTATTTCAAGAAACACAAAACCCATTTTTAAATATGTTTACAAGTTGTATATTTATGATGAATCTTAATTTTGCTTATGGGGAAAGAATATTGGGATTCAGGTTGACTCAGGTACAAGTCATAAAATTGTTTCTATTTTAAAATTTATTCATAATAATTTTAAAAACGATTTTATTTAACTAAAATGGTTAAAATGTATAAAATAACGTTAGTTAAAAGTTTTTAAAGCAAACATTGAAAATGGCAAGCATTCAGAGCAAACTTGTTTTTAAGTGGAAGTGAAACCAGCATTTGCTTTATTGAACATTCTAGTGCTTTACGACCGGTATAGCGATGAGCAGCCATTGCAAGTAAGGAGAAGGCAGTAATAGATAGGGTACTGGGAAGATGACTCTTAGAAACTGCTACACAGATCAGACTTTCTCGTAGTCTTACTAAGGATGTGGGTGTTCCGCCCATGAATCATCAGGGCTGGAGATTGTAGAGCAGTGAGAAAGCACCTACTTTAAGGTGCCGAGCCTACTGTTGGGCCCCTAGAATAGGGGCGGCAGAGGGAGGGAGACAGATTAATATTTGGGGTCTCACTTGCAGGCATGGACGACCTGAAATTTGCTCTGTCCATCAGGCTGGCCTTGAACTCAGAATTCTTTTTTTTACTTTTATAAATTTGCATTAACTCCTTATGCATACATTTTTGTATCTCTGATAAAATCCCTGGTTTTGAAAAAAAAGTCTTGGATCACACGAAAAAGAAGTTTACTTTTTCCTACATAATTCCTAATGTGTTTTACAATGTACAAAAAATAATATATTCATACTTACTACGGATTGAAAGTACTATGGAACAAATAACTAACATGATATGTATCCTTTAGGACTTTCAAAATGAAGTTATAAATAGACAATTTATTTTCTTGTTAAAATGGCATCAGACTACACATCTTCAATTTTCCTTTTTTAATACATTTTGGACCTGTTTCCATACCCTTGTAAAAGGTAGCATAGCTTTTAATGATAGCCTATACATATGTATTATTTAATCTTTCCTCCACTAAAGAGTTTTTGGTAGACATCTTTATCATTGCCGACGTATTTCTACACTAGCTAAAATGGCTCAACAGGAGTATGAGTGCAGACATCAGGGAACACTGGCCAAGAACACGGCTTCTTCCCCAGATTCTGCCCCATTTAGATGGAGGCTTTTTTAAGTGAAATCCATCTTGTTTTCATTTTAGTGTCTGACTGTTATTAATGTGTTTCTTCTGTGAATAATTGTCTGTCATTCTGAGACCGTTTTCTAGTGAGTTATCTTCTCCTCATTGATTTCTAGAAGTGTTTCCTAGGTCCCCATTACGCATTTTATATATATTTTACCGTTTGACTTACTGGCTTTTAAGATTCCCCCAGTGACAATGTCTGATCTGCTCCTGTTTGTGTAGCTTGTGGGTTTTGTCCCGTGGACAAAGGCTGTACTGCTCACTCTCCAAATTATGCAAATCATCTCCTTTGGGAAAACAGCTTTTAAAAAAAAAAAAAGAACCATTTAGAAATGTGTGTGTGTTTTTAAATATGAATCAATTTATTTCTTTTTTTTTTCTGACTTGACAACCAGTTAATTGGAATAAACTGTTTCCTAACGAGCCCATCCTTTGTCCTCCAGTAAGAATTTGAGTCTTTATTGTGTGCCCAGTGTGTATTTACACACCAAAGACTGTTTTTTTACTAATAAGTGACAGTTTATCATGTTTGGTTTTTGAAATTTTTTTTGTTGTTTGTTTGTTTGTTTTTCAAACCAGGGTCTCTATGTAGCCCTGGCTATCTTGGAACTCACTCTATAGACCAGGCTGGCCTTGAACTCACAGAGATCATCCTGCCTCTGCCTCCCCAGTGCTGGGATCAAAGGCATGGGCCACCACCCAGCTTAGTTTATCACATTCTTAGTTTATCACACATTTATATCTTAGGACCAGACCTCTCAGTTACTATTTTTTTTTATTTTTTATTTTTTTTTGGTTTTTTCGAGACAGGGTTTCTCTGTGTAGCTTTGCGCCTTTCCTGGGACTCACTTGGTAGCCCAGGCTGGCCTCGAACTCACGGAGATCTGCCTGGCTCTGCCTCCCGAGTGCTGGGATTAAAGGCGTGCGCCACCACCGCCCGGCTCAGTTACTATTTTTATAACTGCCTTTTTAAAATTCATTTACCAAAAAAAATTTACTCTCTCTACTAAACTTTAAAATTGGCCTATCCAGTATCCAAAAAAGGGGATTTGGGTTAGAATTATATTTAATTAAAGATTACTTGAAGCCAGGCAGTGGTGGCGCATGCCTTTAATCCCAGCACTCAGGAGGCAGAGCCAGGTGGATCTCTGTGAGTTCGAGGACAGCCTGGTCTACAGAGCAAGATCCAGGACAGGCTCCAAAACTACACAGAGAAACCCTGTCTCAAAAAACAAAAACAACAACAACAAAAGATTACTTGAATAAATTAAATACCTAATTGGCCCTTCCATCCACATTTGTGGTATATAACACTTTATCCAGAAGGTATTTTTAATTTTAAGGAGTTTTGGATTGTTTTCTTATTGAATTACACAGACAAATGCACAAATCGTTAGTATATAGTTTAATTGATTTTTCTGAAGCAAACACTATCACAACTCCCACCCAGAGGAATAAGAGCATTACCTGGGGGCTGGAGAGATGGCTCAGAGGTTAAGAGCACTGGCTGCTCTTGCAGAGGTCCTGAGTTCAATTCCCAGCAACCACATGGTGGCTCACAACCATCTATAATGAGATCTGGTGCCCTCTTTCTGGCGTGCAGGTATACATGCAGGCAGAACATTGTATACTAAATAAATAAGTAAATAAATAAATAAATGAATGAATGAATGAATAAATAAATAAATAAATAAAAAGAGCATTACCTGAACCCAGAAGTTTCTCTTTTGCTGTCCCTGTTGTTACCTCCCAGGCTACTACTATATGACCATGGAGTCATTTTGTGTTTTTGAACTACATGAGTGGCCTTTTCAGTATACTCTGCCATCTGCCTACTTTTTCT